TTGAGATTACGTTACTAGAATGGAAATGTAAAATTGAAAATAACGATACATACAATATTTCTAATACATAAAATGTAATATCTAATGTTATAGATTAAAGACTCGTAAAAAATAGTCATTTCATATTTTTATTATCTATCTTGTAATTCGTTGGAAAACGTTTAATGGCACATAGATGGGAGGCAGTATAAGCTCGAGCTTCGAAAGTTATTTAATTGATCACGTTCAACCACGCCCTTGCCATGAATCGACACGCGATAAGAGGAAATGCACGCATTGATCGGTGATGAAAGGACTTGCATAATGAGCGGCAACGAGTTTAAAATTAGCTCCTGTTACTGACCTGTGCTTCGCGTTTTCTCGTTTCGCTCCGCTTAAATCGACGGAATCGAATTTCGATTGTCGTCAACAGAAGACGCATCTTCCACGACGCTAGCACATTTTTTCGCTTCCTCGCGGGAACGATTGAGGAGATAAAGCTTTACGTATTTCTCGGAATTTTAATGCGATAAGGCGAGAATGCGTGTCAGTGCAGAGATTTCCTACAGGAAATATTTGATAGCGAAGCAACAACAAAAATACAATAGATACTACGATGAACAAATAAAAAAAAATTCAAACTTTCAACAATATTTCTATACGCGTTATACATTACGCTTCTGCAAGTTCAGTTCTTTGTGGTTACGTCGTTAGGCAATATTCCGTTGTTATGTAAAGTGACGTACAAATTTAAAAATGGTTCTTTTCTAGCGTTTACATAATAGATCGTTATTTGTGGAACACGTGCAATCGCCCCCTAGTCCTAGTTCAAACCGCCATTAGACTTTACCGACAAAGAAACTCCGAGTATTACATGCCACGCAACATTTGTTTCCCATGGCACACATTGGAATCATCCAATGAAAGAGATAATTGCGATATGAGCAGTCGCGTTCACTAAGGCCAGGCCTATTTAAATAAACCGACTTTTTTAATGTCTAACGACTAAGGTCTAATGTCTATCGTTATATGGTTATGTTGTTTATTTTCGATAAATTATCCTCTTTTAAAAATATTGTAAAAAAGCTCGTTATATCATTTTCAAACAGAGCTGTTCTTTCAAGTTGCACATTTCACTTAATTAATAATGATAAAATAATCTGGTTTATTCTCAACGACTTAAAAGATAAAATGCGATTTTTTTTAACAAAAGATAAAATTGAGAAATATCGCCAACACCTACATCAAAATTCGCTGCAATTTTTTGTTGGAAGCTTAGTTCCTTGTTATTCGATTTTCTGTCGTGATTTTATTGTCTAGATTGTTGCAATCTATCCAGATTGTTAAAGATGCGCAACCAATTGAAATTAATCATTATAAAATCCAGTATGAGTTGAAATAAATTATGCAAAAAGTTAATTTTTCACGTTTGTGTACATTAAATAAAACTTAATCTCTCTTTGCATCTATCTATCTATCTATCCACCTCTTAAATTTGATATGTCTAAGAAAGACTCCGGGGAAGGGTTAAATGTCAATTGCACAAGTTTCTCACAGGAGAAGACATTTGCGTTACTAATTTCCACCTTTCTATATGGCGCATAAACCTGTATAGAAGTCCGCTGTCGGCACCGCCGCCTTCGTTCGCGGGGAATGTAAATCCGCAAAAGCCGAGAGCGCGATCAACCTCTAGCGCCGGCTCCAATACCCGCGCCACGTGTCAAATACACCTACGCACCTACACGTGCGCGTATCGAGGCGCGCGTACGCTCCCGTAAATCAACGCGAGCGCCGAAAGGAGCAACGAAATAAGCAACGAAATCGCGACAATCGTCGTTATCATTTTCTCCTCTAATCGCGGCGCGTTCGGGGACGCTTTAATTTCGGACGAAAATAATCCGCATCGGTCGGAGTATCGACAAACAATCGACGCGCCGACGTTGCTCGTTTCCGCTCCTTCCACGCTCATTCATGCTTCACGTGATCTGTTTACGTTTACGCGCTCGTGTGCCGATCGTCGAATCCACTCTCGTTTTAAAGCGTGTTTACGCGATTTAAACGAAGTTCACGAAATATACTGTTCGCGGCGGCGGCGCGCGGCGTGATTTACTCCGGCCCGAACATTACGATGCCCGCGCACGAAACGCGCCCGCGATACGACTGGAAAGATCCCCTCGTAAACCGCGATGTACGATTGACGATAAAACAAATACATTACGCCCACAAACAATCTCTCTTTCTCCCTCTCTCTCCCTCCTGGGTGTAGATACTAAAAATTCAACGAAGTCGTTTCGATCGTCGGCGCGTCGCGCGACGTCTTTTAAAATTCAAAAGTAACGTCACGTAATTGTTACCGTCATGTCATCATTACCTCAACGCAGGATTTATGAATCCGAGAAACGTGACAAGTTCGACTTGGCCTTTTTTAACGTAATGATGACGTTTTGTAGAGCGTGATTCAGTCCTATGTCATTTCTACCAATATAGATTTAACTTTAATCTCGGTTTAATTTGCTTTTTATCTTTTTTCTAATTCTACGAGTTAGAAAAAGATCAAAAGTAAATTGACCCGAGATTAAAGTTAATCTGCATCGATAGAAATAGACACTAATCGATAATTGAAAGCTATTTTGACGCGCCAAGGACGCTTTAGGTGCAAAAAAATCGGGAAATTCCCTTGTTCAGTTAGTTTTTCTATCTCTCTCTCTCGCCTCCCTCTCTTCACAATTATATCTCAATTTGATAGACTTTTAATTCGAAGACTTGGAAACAAAGATATATTTAACGAGAGATATTGTCGATTAAAAGATAAGCGGAGGAGAGATGTAGCGTCGACTTATCTCGCGAAGCATCGGGGGGAGATAAGGTCGATCGGAAATAATCGGACGCCCGCGAGCGAAAGTGTCTATACTTTGGCGCACACATGCAGCGAGGCGCGAAAGCGCGATTTTAGAGCGAAGGAGAAAGGTTCCCGGGTTCCCTCGAGCCGCGTGAAAAACGCACGCGGCGACGGCGACGACGAGGACGGGTCACATGGCGAACGTGGACGCGCACGTCGCGAGGCCGGTGCACGCGCGCGCGGGTCGCGATCGCGCATAAGTGACAAATAAAGTCGTTGACATGTATGTAGACAACGCGACCAGCAGCGGCGAGAATGAAGAACGAAGGTGTTAAATGCCGAAGATTGAGGCCGGCGGGTTACAATCGTCAATATCGTTATCGCGAACGACTCCCTCGGGATTTAATAACCGTCGAGCAAAAGAAAACGCGTCAAGGATCGCTTTGGCGAGAAAATTCGCATTTATCGAAATTATATCGCGCGATTCCGATCGTCCCTGGACAACGCAATGTCCAAAATCGAGATGTAACACGTCCTGCGTCCCGATGTATATAATTCCCCGCATCTTTTCGGCTGTATTTCATGCGGGTATATCAAAACGAGCGGCGTTATAGCGAGGCCGAGGCTGTCGCGCGACAGCCGCACGTTCGACGCGTTAAAAATAGCTCTTATGCTGCTTATTTATGCTGCTTATTTAAATTCATTAGGGAAATTCGAGGAGCGCGCAAGGTGCGCGCGCGAGAAGGAGAAGAAGAAAAAAAGGTAAGGACGTTGCGCGCGGGCGCGCGCGCCGCGCGAGCAACAACTCGACGAGCAACAGGCTGAACAGGCAGAAAAACAGTGGCGCGTGGTGTATAGTGTCGTGGGTCGTGCGGGGTATACCAACCTGTCGCTCTTGTCGACCACCGCGAGAGGCGCGAGCTCCTGGAGTGGCGGCTCCGCGGATATGCCCTGAGCACGGTCCCTCGTCCGCGGCTTCGTCGGCGTGCGCGGCGGCGCCGCGCTGAAGGGCAGCACGCTCAGGAACTTGTCCAGGTGGCTGCGCAGCTCCTGAATCTGGGCGTCGCGGCAACAGACGACGGCCTCGAGCTCGGCGATTCGTTCGTCCTTGACGCGCAGCAGCTCCTGGAGCTCCCTCAGGGTGCCCATGCTGCCGACGATCGCGGCACCTCCGCCTCCGCCGCCGGCACCGATCGCACCGATGATGTGCGGCACTTGCGTGACTTGCGTGGTGGTGGCGGTCGTGGCGACGACGGTGCCGCTGCTGGTGCCGCTAACGACGGCCGCGGCGCCGCGGCCGTCCGTCGGAAGCTGCGTCGCGGCGTCGGCGGCGCCGGCGTCCTCCTCGTCGGCGAGCGGCTGCTGCGACGACGAGAAGCACAGCGAGTCGAAGCACACGCGCATAGACACGCAGGCGTCGCCGATGGGCACTCGGTATTTCGTACCCTCGTCCATTCAACTTGCCGTAGTTGCCGTGGCCGTGGGGCGTGATGGAGGAGGACCCATACGCGAGGAGCGTCGCGACCGGGACCCGACGGCGACGTCGTCGGTCGTTACTATCGCGCCGCGAATTCGCGTGATTTGCTTCGCGCTCGCCGAAGAGCGGCGGACCTCCGCTCCGACGTCCTCCACCGCCTCCGTCCTCCGTCCTCCGTGACGTCCCGTGCCCCTGCCCCGTGCAGCGTGCTCGAGTCGGTGCTCGTTTGTCGGACGAATGAGAGAGAGAGCGAGCGGCCGGCCGGAGTGGGAGAGAAAAGGACGGCCAGAGGGAAAGGGAGAGAGAGACAGGACCGGTGGTGTGACGGTGAGGCGTGAAGGAGGGGGAGACTACTCGCCGCGCCGCGCGCTCGTTGACTAAACGCGACGAACTTCGGAGTCAAGTATTATAGATTCTCTATGTGCCGATTGCCGCATCTCCGTGAATGAGAGCGCACTTCTTGCTCGATCGTCGACACGGCAAAAGAGGAAAAAGTTATTTTATGTAACATTATTTATGTAATATCTTTTTATAACTTTTCATCTTTTCTTAGTTTCGAGGTGTCGACAAAAGTTACGATCAAAGATCTAAGCTAAAAATTATTGAATATACCAAAAATCTTTTATATTAATACCAAAAGTTTACGGAAAAAATATTTTACATAATTATATAGATAACCATATGTTTGATAATAAAACTTAATAATAAATGGTAACCAAATTTATTATTCTTACATAGAAGCCTTATACAAATATTGCAAAATAAGCGTCGATATAGTACCTGTGCGTGTATACATATATGTACAACAAAATATGTACAATTTATAAATAAAAAATCATTATATTTCAATTATGCTAGTGAGATTTGTCATTGCGGAAGGAGGGGTTCGCTTCCTGTCCTTAGCACGGTTTTCGTAACGTTCGTGAGCTCGTCGAAATTACACTGATGCTTCTCATTTTTCTCAGTCTGTTCTGGCTCCAGAAACGCCTCGTTCAAACAGACGTTGTTCAAGCTGACGGCGCTATTTGAGAAAATAGCCATGCCAAGATTTGGATTTTTCATGTCGACACTGTTGGCACGATTCTTTGACGGAGACTTCGCGGTAACATCTTTGTCAGGTCGCGGGTGTGACGACATTATGTCGCACGCCTTTCCAAGAATGATTAGGCTATTCAATATGCGAAAAGATACTAATATAAGATAAGCTAATAATAGAAGTATGATATTAGCGGGTCTCGCGGATGGCGTCAGGGTCGTACACAGTACGCGAGCCATGGCGACTCCCAGAGGAAGAGGTATGAAGCCCATTCGCTGCGCAACTAGGTCCGAGGGATCCGTGAATGCTTTTTTTCGACGTGCCTTCGCCATGTCGTAGGCCAAGCTCACGGTATAATCCCTGTAGACGGTGGAAGGCAGCTCGTTGAAACGTGTGATGAACGCATGTTTCACCTTTATGGAAATACAATGTTATTAGCGCGATGATTTGTACAATTTGCACAAGGTTCGTCAATGTTTGTCAAATATAGGCAGCGACGATTGAAACATATAAGCGAACGAGAAATTATCGATAAGAATGATGCAAATAATTTAATGGTAGGAATAATCTGATTCGATTTCCGATCTGATTTTTTTTCGCTCACATATGCCTCCATAATGTACAATTTATTTTACGGTACAAACCCAATCGACGACAACTTCTGCCAACAATAGCGCCACGCAATCGGGTAGCAAGACAGCAAGACGATCGCTGTGCCACGCGTACTCTTTCATCGTTTGCAGACTCACTGCGAGGAGCAGTATAATGAGATGAAATCTTTCTCTGACGTCGGCGCAAGATAATTGGAACAAGTTGTTCTTGTCAAATTTCTTGAAGACAGAACCCTTCAGTTCTACAAACTAAAAATACTCTGTGTGAAATACGAAATACTTGATACAAAAACATCCGACTGCTTTACTTTTTCTAACGCACTTACATTGTTGGACATCATAATTGTGAGAAGCGCTTTATTACTACTGTTGATCGCCACATTTAACGTCGTCGCTTGGAGTAACACCAATGTACTATGAAAAACTTTGTGCGAAAGCAGTCAAGGTGTAAACATATCTTGTTGCGGCTTAAGCCTATCTCTCGACCGTCGTCGAATTAATCGTAATAACGTAATTAGACAAAGGATACACACATAAACGACGGCAAACAAGAGATGCGGCAATGTACCGAAATGTTTCGTACGGGTAGAATCATTCGGGTGACGCGATCGTGGCTCGTTGGCGGTCCAAAGCAGGGCGTCTATAGTGTCTTGCCCGAAAGAGCTGAAAAGACGATCTCCCACTTCTAACATGTTATAAAATATGTATAGCTTTATAACCGATTGGCTCTTAACTAAATGGTACATCATGGAGGTATCCACCTTCCAGGTTGCTGCCCAGCAACCCAGCACTACAATTCCTTTTAACAAATCGCACACTTCGGCCGATCTCAAATATCTCTCGGTACTTTTTGCATGACCTTTCTCGCTCCTACGAAACGAAAGATCGTGGTTAAAATTTCACGGTAACCAAATATATATTTCGCTCTAAATCAAATATCTCTCGCATACCTTAGGTAGTGTCGTAAAGGCCTTGTAATCACTGCCCATAAAGCCATTGCGAATCTTAACGGTAAAAACGTATACAAAAATAGGAAAGAATCAGCGCACTGCAATGACAAAAAAAACAGCAAAACATGTAACATGTAATATGATAGATTATTTTTAAAAATGTTAGCCATAGTTCTATCCTCCTGACAGCATTATGCATCACTGTACCTGAAGGAACCCGTACGTCATAAAATTTTCCACCTCCCGAGGAATTTTCATGAACGAGTAAACCTTCTCCCTTCTCGCGGACAATCTCTCCTCATCGTGCTCCAGCTGATAACCCCTCGTTAATTCTGTCCTTAAGAATTGCATCAACGATACCCCTGGAAAAGCGGAATACATTTATCAACTGAACTGCAAATATAAAACGTTATTTGTGCAAACTCCTAGTAACAGCTACTACTTAATAGTTATAGTTATACTATATATACAGCTAAATATAGTTATACTACTCAATAGTCACTAATAACAGCTAGTCGAGCTATTAAATAGCGATATAAAAAAGCAAGACTTATAGCATATATATAAATATAGAAAAACCCTGAGCCAGAGTTTGTAAAAATTGTTTCAAATTTGTTTCTTTCCTTCTGCATAGTTTGTGATAAATACATTCTGTAGAAAAAGCCGCCACCTTTGCGCGGGTGACTGGTGCCATCTTATCTAATCATTCTAATCTATCGAGGCGTACGTGCGTGTGTGTCACTGTTTTCTTTTTCTCCTGTTTCACACACGTTCCACCGCCGCGCGAAAAAACGCTGCCCCTCCCCTCCCCCCGGACAAGTAAATAGACAATCGCGGGTGGCACTTACGCTGCTTCTTCTTCTGCGCATCTTGCCCGTCGGATAACTGCGGCCTGCAGCGCGTGGGATCCACATTTTCCACGCGCCCGTCGTGAGATGACACATGAGTTTCGGACTTGCCAGTAGCGCGGAATCTGATCGTCCTCTTCTCCGGCCAACTTTGCTCCGTGTCCCCATCGCTGACACCCGCGCTCTGCATCGTTTCTGCAATGTTTACCTTCGACGAGCGTCCGCGCAACGTACGGTCATTCTACCAGCCCGCGTGATCTCTCAAGACGACCGTAGCCGCATCCCGTCCCACGACTGCCCACGACTGAAACGCCGTTTGATGCCGCACTGCTCCCCAGGTCCCCGGGCGAACTGTCACAACAACTCAACAACACCAGCGGTGAGCGGAGAGAGAGAGAGCGCGCGGAGACTCTGGCGACGCGCGTCACACGACACGCGCGACGGTGACAGCGCCTGATGAGTGATGATGCTTGCGTAATGTCGAGCCAGGAACCCGTTTCTCTCATAATTCGCGCCGATCCGTTTCATGCAGCTTTATCAAACCACTTGATCAAAATCGTTTGTCTCTATTTTTTGTGTTGACATATTGTATTTATAAGATTCTTTCGAATTATGGCCGTCGATAATTTATATTCTTGTATACCCTATCGCGTATTATCGGAGTTTAGATTATCAACCGCCGATAATTAAGATAAAATTCTTTGCGAAGACAAATATATTTGTCAAAATATTTTACGTGCGTGTATTTATTATCTTTTAATGTAATTATCATTTTATCTCAATACAGTTACTCGTACCTTTATATAACAAAACAGAGCTTATTTGAATAATAAAAATCACACAATTAAAGATGCATGTATATTATATGTATATGTGATCGCCACACACACATATACAATTTAATTTTTATTATTTAAATAAGTCTAGCTTATATTGATTGTGTATCGACTGTCATGATGATGTCATACCTCCTTAGCTACGAATCTGATTTGAATCAACAACATGCAGTCTGACACAAGTCTAAGTCAAGGTGTATGGATTTCAGGATAGAAGCTTTTTACAAAGAACCGTGCGATACGGCATTTCACAATGAATACCTTGACTGTGAGCGACGCTTCCGCCCCATCTCGTGATACTGCCAAGAATATGGAACAGCCGGGGACCAAAGTCATGAAGAAGTTGTGGATAGACACCAAGTCTTTGGACGTGCCAAATGTTCTGAATCCCGACGACTCCTTGATGAAAAAATTCCAAAGTGCTCTGCGAGAGCATCTTACTCGCGTCGACAATAAGTTAAACAGCGAAATATTAGAACTAGTAAATATCGAAACCTTTATTTTTCTAGACTTTAGAGATCTATCTAATCCATGTAAACAAAAAGATGTGTTAATTATTACCATTAAATATTATTTACAAATATTTCAGGAGGATAATATAAGAGCGATGGAGAAAGAACGCGAAGCAGAATGTTTACAAATGTATTACGCCCAACAGGAAATAGCGCAGCAGCAAACGACAATTGAAAAGTATCAAAACATGATAGCAAATGTGATTTTATTGCGCGAGCAGAAAGATACGTGTATAAAGAATGCGAAAGATGTTCATAAAACTACCCATGCCAAATTGTTCGAGGAGAAAAAGAAAGAGGAGAATCTCGTGCGCGAATTGGAGCAGCTTACCGCTTTGCAAGCGCAATTCTCGGAATGGCAAACGGAGCTCGAAAATAGTTTGGCCATTTCCAAACAGGTGTCAAAGAAAGATAAGGCAATTCAGCGAGATTTGATCGCACAGAAACAGCAGAAAGACTGCATAATATATAAACTCATGGAGGAAGTGTGGAGAATTAAAACCGAGATAGCCAATTTGGACACGCAATTGCAGTTGAAAAATAAAGAAAAAATTGAGGTCAATCAGATGATCGCCGATGTTAATGCTGATCTAGAAGCGTTGCATAAGCAGCACATGAATTTGTGCAACGCCTGGAATTCTGTTGTACTGAATATCGCTAAGCGGAATAAAGTCTATGAGCAACTAAACACAGAGCGTGAGTACGTAATGTCACGATAATTTTTAAGGATTCGAATAAAATTGTAATGAGAAACAATAATATAGTATCATCTAATTAAGTCGCGTCTGTGACTTTGTGATAGAAAGAAATAATGTTTCGGTGAATTTTTCTCTACCGTCACTTGCTAATGAAAGACTGCAGCAGCGAATATTGTTTCAGGAAAATATGTGAATCTTTTAATACATTACATACGGAAATAGAGAAATTAAAGAAAGAAACTTATAAGGAAACAGAGAACAATGAGAATTTGACCTTGTTGCATACACGAATAGAAGAAAATATACAGATTAATACAAAATTGATGGAAATGGGAAATGATAAACTCAATAATTTGGAATCTGAATTAGTAAAAATAGCAAAGTTTAGTGAACAGGAGCAACACGAATTCGATTTAACTAATAATGTATATAGAATGTTAATACACTTATTTAAAAAACTTATAATTACTAAATTATTAATGATAATATTATCGATAAACATTATTTTTACGTGGTTATATTATCATCTATAATAATCCCATATTTCAGGAATGGCAATATTTGTTACACGAAGAGGAAGAAACTGATAAAGAATTTACAAAATTTCTAAATAAGCAAAACGAGTTGGAAAATACAATATATAGCAAACTGGAAGAAAAAGTTGCGCATAATAAAGCGGCGCGGTATTTGAATAAATTATTATTAGATTCCAAAGAGACAATGCAAGAACAAGAATTGTTATTGGTAGAAACAGAAAATTCATATGGCAAAAAGTTATTGGAATTAGAACAACTTAATTCATATAAATCTCATGAGAAGGTAGAATTAGAAGAGCTCTTGCAAAGTAATAATAAAAAGGGAAAAGAGATAGATGAGATTCAGAAAGAAATCAAGAAGCATGACATAGCAATTGAGAGGAAACAAATGAAAGTTATTTGCTTGAATAAAACCATTGAGGAGGTATGATAATTATTAACTAAAAATCCTGTTAGAATATAAAAATATTAAAAACTTATACACTACTTTTTTCAGATATTATCGCATAGGGAAAATGGAGAAGTTAATCCTTTTAATACGAAGATAAAAACCTTGGAAAAAAATATAGAAGAAGTTCAGCAAAGTAATCAAAAAGCACAGCAATTGTGGATTCGCCAAGAAGGATATATGATTACATTGAGCCAACAGAGAGATTTACAATTGCAAGAACTTAATCTTCTTAATAAAGAAATTATGATTATGGAGCAGAAAAATTTGAAACTAGAGCATGCTTTGGAAATGCTTAATAAGGAAGACTCGAATATGGAGAGAATGTTAAATCTTCTGCAACAAAGAATGGTACAAATGAATACACAATTAGTCATACAAAAAGGACTGAAGGAGGAGCTAGAAGACAAAAATTCTATTACGAAAAACGAGGGAATACAGTCTCTTGAGGATGCAGAATTAAATCTTATAAAGCTGCAAAGTGATTTAAAACAGTTGTATGAAGAAAAAGCACTTTTGAAGGAAAATTTAGATGCAGTGCAACAAGAAAGTTTATCATGGGAGAAAAAAGTAATATTTTAGATATCAAACATTATATATTTCTGTCTCAAGCAAAATATTATAATCTGTAATTTATGTTTTTAGGTGCAGTTAATGCAAGAAACAGTGAAAAGATTGAGAGATGAACGTAGTAGCGGTGGTGACATTACAGCGATGAAAAGTGAAATACATAAAATGGAAATGCGCCTGTCACATTTGCGTAGGGCGCAAGAAAAATTGATTCATGATATGGAGTTTTGTGTTGCGCGAAGAGATATTATATTAGACAAAGTTATGAGTAAATTTAAGAAAGATCCTAAAGGACAACACAATCAGAAAGTTATATTCCGTAAACGTCTTGCCGATCAAAAGTTAAAGATAAAACAAGTGGTGAAGGTAAATTCCAACTTGCACTAACAATAAGTTTGATCGATGTAAATTTTTAAATTAAATGTTTATTATAGGATACGAAGAAAACTGAAAATAGAATAATGGAGTTGGAAAATCAAATAAAGGATACAGTAGGCAAATGTAACGAATCGCAAACAGCATTGAAAATGATAGTAGATGATATTCCAAATGTAGATCAAGGGATTATGCAAACAGAAGCTATTAAGTACCACGTATGTAATGCAAATAATTCATTTCCTTAATTTCATAAGATTCAAAATTACTATTTGCCTACAATTTTAACATTATTAATTAGAAAATCTTTTGTTATTTGCAGAATTTGCAGGCATTAGTTTTTAAACAACGAAAAGCTAAAATGCTACAAGACATTAAAAGTGGCCGATACAAGATGCTTTTCAAAAGTGAAGCTGTACTAAGTGAAGAATTCCAAAATGAACAGATTCTTCGTGATTATTTGAAACATGTAATGGAACGGACGAGTCAAGACTTTCCTTTATTGAAAAATAATATTCAAAAAATACTTTTGACATTAGAAATACTATAAAATCGCAATAATTGTTATAAGAAAAGTTAAAACAATGCAATATAGTAACAATAATTATACAATAATTATAATTATTTATAACAAATGCATAATAAAATGTTTTGGTTGTAAAACGTATACTTATGCCGAGTGCACTCCTTTAATAAAAGCCTCCATGGATGGAATCGGAGTATCTGGTAAAATGCCATGTCCCAAATTGGCAATATATCGAGTTTTACCAAAATTTGACACCATTTTGTGTGCACGATCAACAATTTCATCCTAAGGAAAACAATAAGTATATTCAATATTTTTAGTAATATATAGATAAATATTACTAGATCAATGATTGCTTTCAACAGTAGTTACTTTTATTAGTAATCAGTATATTACTTCTTAATTATATACAAGATTTTTACATATAAAATGATAATAAGATAATTGTTTAAAATAAAAAATATGTACAATTTTTTAAAGAAGATATAACATACCTGTGAAGAATACATTGAACAAGGATCCATATTACCTTGCAATGTAATATTAGGACCAAGTTGTTTTCTGGCTTCTGTAGGATCTACGGTCCAATCAAGGCCTATTACTTCATAACTCTGATCCTTCGCAAGAATTTTTAAGGAATTCATGGTTGCACCTTTTGGAAAAGCAATCTAGAAACAGACAATATATTTATATTTCAATATATTATTTATATACTTTATATCTTGATTTACAAAATAATCCTGCTGATTAAGGATAGCTATGTAAAATATTTTACCATAGGCACTTCTGGAATATTTGCTTCTTTCAGATGGTTCCGTACACGTTTGCTGATTTGTTTCAGATATTTAAAAGAATAATTTGTAAATAATGCATCATCCAAATAGTCTCCATTGCTTTCAAATACTTGTAGTAACTTGAAAAAAAGGATATGTTATTGCCTTCTATTTATGTAATTCTTATATATACTGCGTAACATATTCTAAGAATGTGGTCCGAGATTCACTGTCAGTGCTGCTATAGCATACATTACGTACACTATGAGCAGCCTACGAGATCTTAAAAAAAAAAGAAATTATACTTTAATTATATACCTGAGCACCAGCTTTCACTTGCATTACTAAGTAATCCACAACAATATCTGTAATCATCTGTAACAATTTATGCGTGTCCTCTGGATACTTATACAACCAGGATCTTGCCTTTGCCATTGTCGAACTACCTCCTCCTTGAATCATGTAACCCATCAGAGTCCACTAAAACAAATTATTTTACATTAATATGTAATATACAATAGCAAACAGCAAAAATAAAGATCTTTATATCAAAGAAATTCTCAATTGGTATAATATATTCACACCAATTCTGATTTTTAGATATTAAAATACTTACAGGAGCTCCAGTGAATCCTATTAATGGCACTCTACCATCCAATTTGTGCCGAGTCAATGTTATAGCATCTCCGACATACTTTAGAGCTTCATTCACATTTGGTCGTACAAGTCGTGCTAAGTCATTGGGATCAGCTAAGGGCTGAGGCAAGACTGGACCCTAACAGATACTTTTTATTTACAGAGAATAAAGAGACAATAATGAATATAGAGTATATTAATGAATATCGTGAATATCACTTGACTGTTATGTAACAACATATGTATGTATGATTGGTAAAGAGTACTCACTACTCCCGCTACCATCTCGACTTTCAGGCCCATCGCCTGAGGGATCACCAAGATATCTGAGAATATTATACTGGCATCCAGATCGAAGCGTTCTATCGGCTGCAGGGTCACCTGGCATGCCAACGCAGGAGTCTGACAAACGGCGAAGAAATCGTGCCGAGCTCTGACTTCCTGAAACTCTGGAAGGTACCTCCCAGCTTGTCTCATAACCCAAACTGGAACCCTGTCAACCGGCTCCCCGCGTGCCGCCTTGAGAATCCGGTCATTCTTCAAGGGTGGAAAATTGTGCTCGATCATTCCTCCGGTCGCTTCGCGATTTTCCTTGAGTTTTATTTCGTCCTAAATAACATAATAATATTCCTCACTGTACTGTTTTTATCCTATTCGAAATTTTGTATCCTATTTTAGATTACAATTACGGTAACTCGTAGAAAATACTTACAATAGTTTGTTTCAATTGTTGCAAAGTGCACGATAATTCTTTGCTGATGAACCTGCAACTTCACGTTTGAACTCAATAAGAAAGATTGATGATAATTGCTATCGTCGACGACGTCGACGATGACAGATCTGTTCCTCGTAGCTGCACTATGTTATACTTTCTGCACTTAAAATGAAATAGGTGTATCGCGATTAAACGTTGAAGAGAAAAGGAGGAAAGACAAACAAAATTATAAAAAGTTCAATTACAAAGAATAAAACGCTGTTTACAGTTGTTATGGCCGTCCAGTCATTTTTTACGTCAATATCTTATGCAATGAGATCCTATGGTAGCCAATCCCACGTGTTCTTTCGATGAATATATTTAGGTCTTGTAAATGAACATTTTCGGCATATTTAAAATCAAATAAATATATAATATAAGACTCTGGAGAAAAAAATTAGCTACAAATCTATTACTCCAACGATGGCAGTATATTGCAAACAGAAAAGTTGTTGATAGAAAATTCTGCAAAATTGCACAGCCAAAATTTGATGCACTGGTGCCTTATATAATCGGAATTATTTTATAATTTTCGAAATTTTGATTCAAGCAACGTTTTTTACCAAAACTATCGGATCCTTTTGATGATTTATTTTGAGAGTTTCGAAAGACGCATATTTTATCAGGGGTGAAGTAATTAATATTGTTGTTAGATCATACGGTTTACTAAAATTTATATTTAAATATATTATATATATATAACTTGATGATTTTTTGTCTTACGCCAATGCTATTCTCAGCTGTTTTATATTTATATCGGAGTAAATTGTTGAAATAGCCGCCTTGTATAATCTGTTGGATCTATGAGTAAGAACCAATCATGTTTGATTGATACCCCTGAACGCGACCATTGGGCGCGTTCAGCAGACCAAGCCGCTGAGTAGCAGTCGAACGTGATTGGCTCTTACTTTTAGAACCAACCAATCAACGCAGAGTGTTGATAAGACGACACTCAACAGTTGTGTCTGCTGAACGCGGCCAATTGTTTATCCTTCGCCGTTCTCTGCGCCGAGAATGTCAAACCAGTTTGAGGTTGAGTGTCTCCTGATCAAAGCTGTGTTTATTCTTGACGTAAACCACAATAGTGGATCTGCTGCGTAAACGGAATCTGGATCGTATCGTGGAATATATAGAATATATAAATTATAGACTAGTCGTTGAGATATAGCATAGTGTCAGTGCCTGAAATTTAGCTATTTGGCACATATTCAGTGAAATGTATTTTGCACCGTGACTCAAGTTCGAGAATTTTTGGATTTCGTTACTTCAGTTCGCGGTGTGTCAATTCTTTCGATAAATATTAGAAAGGACTTCTCTACGTGACAGACGATGGATGACGTAAATATTAATAAGATATGTCTCGATATACAAGAGGTAGAGTTGGACGGAGAAGAGAAAGAGTGGGTCAAATTAAGCTGGATTAGCAGTCAAAGTGATGACGATGGAAGTTTTCAGTCATCGGGGATACAGAGGGTGAGCGATAATATTGCTGTAAAATATACTGTAATCAGAATTTCAATACTGCAGACAGAAATAATTTTTAAGCAGAACCAAATCAACGAGACGCTTAACATATTTTTATGTTTTCAAAGGATTCGGGTAACGAGACAGCACAGATGAAAGATTGTGATAATAAAGTATCGTTTACAAATGCAGAATTAGAGGATATATCCGATGGTATATCAGTCATAACAGAGAGCGATACGGATGCTGTTAATACAAATCTCTCCCAAATTTGTCAATTTAAGCCACTCGAGTCGCCGCAAATGTTGGAAGTGCAAATAAGTAGACAGGTATTATAATAACTGTGCTTAGTCTCATCTCTTATTATCTAAATTTATAAATATCTTTAATGTTCTTTTGGATAATAGAATTTAAATCTCTTTATTATAGAAAGATATATGGAACATTCTTATTGCTTGTGTACTCGGTATGATTATCGGCTTGTCTCTTAGTCATCTTTTCACAATTCCTGAAACCTGCCCAGTCTCAGATGGAGTCGATGCTGAAAGTCTCAGGACCGCGAGTCATAACATTGTTAATACTTGCAAGGAATTGACAGATGGTAAAATAAACATAATTTTAGAAGAGATCCAAGATCCACTATTTACTGCTGTAGATTCATTATTTGCATCTTGATTTATTTTTAGTGAAAACTATGCTGAATGAAATTAAAGCACATATTCCAGCTGATGAGAAAATTACGAAGCAATTTTCAACACAATTTTTCGAGATTACTGATTCCTCTAATAAGACAAGTGATAAGCCTGTCGTGGTTAACAAGGATGTTTTCAATTCTACCTCACATCCATTGGATCAACTTCAAGGATCTTTACATGTACTATCATCGTTGGCGTTTATTTATGACGATAATGGTTCTTTGAAAAATAAAATAAATAAGACACTGGATATTGTAAACAATACAAAACTATTTTATGATACATTAATATTACTTACCAATAACACACAAGACGAGTACAATCCTAATGTCTCGAAGTAAGTATAATATACGACGATATTTATTTCTAAATAGTATTGTTATATATTTAAGTTATTATATTATTTGCAGCTTTTTGCAGCACAAGCAAATGTATACTACTACCAAGTTACTTCTCTCCAACTTAGCAGAAAAAGTGAGCAAGGTAACATCAAAAGTGTACAATAAATATGATAAAGAAAGACACAGATTGAATAAAAAATTGTGTCTTTTGAAAAGCATATTGCCCGATGATAAATTTTTAAAACAATTGACCGAGAATAATCAGATGTTTAAAGATTATGACAAGTCTTGTTTCCCGAACTATACATCAAAAAATTTGGATAGAACGATTACAAAAGATAATACAAAGATGAAGGAACAGATTACAAAAACTGATGATACAGTATTGCATCCAAAGTATGATAAACAGAACAGCCATAGAATTCATGATGATAATAAAGAGAACTCTTTTAAAAATAAAAGGAATAAGAAGCAAAATATAGACAAATCTACTATGGAGTAAGTATATGTGAGCCATAACATCCAATTTTCTTATTTTTCTGTTGTAAATTATTACCGTGTATTTAAATGATGATTTTATATAACAGGTTTGTGCGAAACGCCAGTCATAAGATACATAATACTTCTCAGTTACTTCTCTCTGAGGTAATAGAAAATATAAGCAACTTAAGACGTAAATTTTTAAAACAATTGATTGAGGATTATGAAAGTGACAATGAAGATAAAGAGTCGGTTAAGGATGAAAGAAAAGACGATTACTTACAATCAAATACAATATCAAAAAATGACATATTAAAAAATAGTTTTGATAACATCTTAATGCAGCTGAAAAATACGTGTCCACTTTCAACTAACTATTGTCCAAAGTTTAATCTTAACACGAGCACATTTGACACCGTATCAAATGTAAGAAATGTAAGTTATAAATCTATGGGACATTTATTAATTTCTGCATAAGTTTTTAAATTGTATGTGAATAAAAATTTGTGTACATAAAATGATAAATATATTAGATTGAATAATGCGTAAAGTTTCATACACTAAATGTAAATTATAAATTTGTTTCAGCATAAGACAAAGAATTATAAACATAAGAAACATACAAATAGCAAGAAGACTATGGATCGTAGAGATTCTGCAAAAATTTTGCCTGTAGAAGGAGAAAGCAGACCAAGGAAAAAAGAATATTTTAAATCGAATGGCTCCACCAAAAAAATCGTTAATGGCAAAGCGGCTTATGAAGGAGAGAATATATCCTCTCAGAATAAAATAAAGAATCATATATCAGAGCACACCGTTGATTGTGATAAATCTAAACACTCTTCGCTCGATAGTCGCACAATGAAGCAAGATAATCAGCATTATACAGATACAGACAGAAACAAGGCATTTTACAAATACAGACAGGGCCAAATAAGGAGTGACAACAAAAGGTATTAATTTCCAATAAGACATAATTTTATGTAATATTACGATATATTACGAATATATTACGATATACGCTCAAATAACTTAATGTGTTTACGAATAAATACGATAAAAATATCTTTTGGGCAGATTTCATGAGTATAAAAAGCAACTTGACGCTTCGGACTGGTATTTTCGACGAGCTTTTGCCCGTAGAAATGCACGAAGACATGCGGAATATATATATCAGAGGAATATGAAGTGGAAGAACCGTCGATGAATAGTAAATTATTAACACGGAGATACATGGGATATTTTTGCACGCAAACTCTTAATGTGTATAAAATATCCTACATAGCATATTTAACACGTATTCTCAACCCTCCATTATCTTTATTAGCAAACAAACGTTAGTGCTCTTGTATGAGCGCCGCACCAGTATGTGTGTCACTGTATTAGTGCGGCGTTGTTATAGTTTTCTCAGTCAACATAGTCTTGTAAGAACAAGAGGATGAGACATCGATCCGTCACACTAAAGCTTATATTTGGCAACGCGTCGACTGTACGTATTCGTTCTCACCATGAGCGCTGCGCTCAGATATATCGCGCATTAACATTTTCAAAGTCTAATCTAAAAATTGTTCTAACGAAATTTTGGAAAATAATTATACAAATATAATCTAGAAGGTTGTAAGTGATAAGTCAGAAAGTTTCAGAGTCAACTTTTATGCTACATCTATGCAATTAAAAATATAAAATGTGAACTGAGCATTCGCCTCATACAAGAGCAATGGAGGGTTTATAAATATTCCTTGAATATCCAAATGATCTGCAATATCCAGACATCGAACCATTTATTAACATTGACATTTTTGCTGTTACAAGAAGATATCTATACTGAAAAGAAAAATCCTAGATCGAAAAAAATAGAATTTCTAGAAAGTAGATATCATATGCCTCAACAGAGAAAAAATTACAACAATAGAAATTACATCAATGAAATAAAACAAAAAATAGAACGAAGTACATGTAATGTATCTCATACGCGGTATTATATTTATTTGTAGGTTCTGACAAGGGAAGGTTCAGAACTAAATTCTGCCGATTTTAATGAAACTGGGCAAGATTACAGAGAAAGTTTCCCCGAATGTAATGTTATCCCTATTTGGCTGCCGACGTTCAACCGTTTTCGAGATATTTTAATAATAAATTTAGTGGTGTCTTTAGAGTAGAGTTTATTAGGACACGCACAGGCGAGTATTTGTGGCGTAATGAATATAGTAACTCCCTCATAATTATTTTATTTATATGTTATTTAAAATTATGACTATTTATATTATAATTTATATAATATAGATTTTTTATATTAAAATAATTTATTTTTTATATCAACGATAATTATTTTTATCATAAAACATATAAAAAATCCAGTTACCATATTCGCTACGCCACAAATACTCGTCTGTGAGTGTCCTAATAAATTCTACTCTAAAGACGCCACTGAATTTACTATTAAATATCTCTGAAACGGTTGACCGTCGGCACTTAAATAGAGGTACCATTACATTCGGGGGAACTTTCTCCGTAATCCTGCCAAGTTTCATCAGAATCGGTGGAATTCAATTCTAAGTCTTCCCTTGTAAAATCTTTTTTCTTCAAAAAATTATATTTTCTTAACGCGCTACATATGACATCACATATATTTACTGTCTTATACGTAACTTTATACAAGAAATAATAAGGAATTTAATGAATACCTGGAAATTTGACATAATGGATATTCAAGAACATTGGAGGTTTACAGGAATCATCTGTAAAATGGTTGTGTAGCATCAGTATGTATATATATTGCAGTATCAGAAACTTTTATCGCAAATTCGCAATGTGATATGAAATTGTATGCCATTAATGAATCTCAATGGTAGTGAGAGATTAAAGGGCGGCGTGTTGTAGATATTATAGCTGATAGAATCTCACGGTATCAATCTCGTGAAACACGCGCGACTTGCGCGCGTCAAGAAGTTACATGTCGTGACAATGATGTTGTGATCGTACATACCAAGGTGATCGACGAGAGAACAGTATTCACAAAGCGACCTCGTTTATTTAATAATATTACCTTAAGCTGAGTCGCGTCCGTGACATTCAGCCGCCCGTGTATAATAATTTTTTACCATCTTGCACGAAAGAGTACAAGATATATGTAGATGAGTAAGTAAGCAAAAAGAGAAAATATACATTTTATAATAAATAGACGTGTATTATTTACAGTTATATATATAAATATATATTTACAGTTGTCTTGTAATAGTTTTTATGAAAATAAATGATGCGTTAATATATATATATGTATATATAAGTAATAATAAAAGAGCGTTTGCAGGCATATATGCATATGTGTGCACTCGGAATGAAAACCATAGCGACAGATGTATTACAGAAATGTTATGTGTACAAAGTTATACAATAAAATTGTATAAAAGTCATAACAAAAATTAAATGAATAATTCTACTAGGTGTGATACTAGGTAAATGAATAAATCTACTAATGTCTGGAAACAATAGAGATATAGGAATCGAATTTGTTAAAATAATTGCAATTTAATTACAACGCGACAAGTATACCGAATCAAAAATAAATTCTGCGAGCTGCTTGCGGTAGAAATAGTCTACGCGATTCGATATTTTGCGTTTATAAAAGTTAATAAATTTATGGATAAGTTCGTAATAAACTGTATAGAAATAAATTTTCAAGTCTGGAAGTTTTCGGCTCAAGTGCTAACGTGTGTATATGGAGTTCCATTCGACTATCATCGAAAGTTCCGCGAAAGATGTATTTTCGTAAGGAACCCCATCTCCCGTCATCTCCGGTCTTTGTGCATCGCGTGGTTGAAATTTCGCGAGTCACGATATCTGCGCACTTTCGCGCAATACTCGCATATACATCAGTTGCGATATCGCCAACCGCGATATATATACTTCTCTCTGTCTCTTGCCGAGGTAGAATTTATGTTCCTTTTTATCAGTGTAAGTTAATTTTAATCTCGGTTTAACTTACTTTTTATCTTCTATACTTTTCAGAACTAAGAATCAAAGATAAAAAGTAAGTTAAACCAAGATTAAAGTTAATCTACGTTGGTTTAAATAAACATTAGAACTGGAAAATGATAAAAAGTAAGTTGAACCAATTAAGATATATATAGAAAACTTAATCTGCATTATAATATAAATGGACATTATAGAAGCGGTATTCGTAATTTGAACCAAGATTATTTTAAATCTAATTTCAGACAATTAAGTTCTACCCTGCCAATAAAATGATTATACAACATCTCGAGATCGTATTTGAGACGATCTTAAACATAAGATTGCGTGGAAAATTGCAACTGCGATCTTTTATCACGTGAATTTTCGCCGCCGCCGAGAAATTCTGCTGGCGAGAGTGAACGCTGCGTCGTGATTGGTCAATTTGCAAATCCGGTCGCGTCGAAACACCAATCAACACCTCCTCCGCGTGGAAGCGATCGTCGCCTGCGTTCGTTTATTCACATTGGGAGCTATTGGGAAAATAAAATCTATAATATACGTGTATTATACATTTTATTTTCTCAATAGCTCCCAACGGGAATAAACGAACGCAGACGTCGTCGATCGCGGTTCGTCCACGTTGCGTCGTGTGACGTCATGACGTGTTCCGTGACGTGTCTAGCGCGCTCGGATTCGTCAGTGATGGCATGATCGGAAATAAGCTTGTCCTTTCGAATACGTAAACAACGTCGGATCGCGACGGACAGCTGCGGACGGCGTCGACGGCGACGGATCGCAAATCGCAAATGAAAATCGTTCGGTAAACCGCGCTCGTGGACAACAAGGTTCGGGTTCGGCGGCCGCGCGTACCGGCGTTCGACGTGAATGTTTTAGCGACAAAGGGGCTGCCCGCGCCCCGCGGCGCCGCGCAGGAACACCGCTTTGTCGCGGTTTATTTTTGCATTCGGAATCGCTGTATTTTTGCGCGCAACGCGATCCCAAAATAGAACGCGGCCTGCGACGACGGCGGCGGCGGTGACGGCGCGCGATGTATTTTCCGCGCGCTGGCGACGAGCGAGGGATATGAGTTTTGAGGTTACCACGTCTCGGGGTGGCCTCAGCCTCAGCTGATTCCTCTCCTCGGACGTTGCTCCGGACGGGGCTCCGTGGCACGACTCGCGCGAGAACGAGAGGAGCCGCGCGAGGATGGAGACCGCGTGCGAGATAATTGATGAGCCCCAGCAGTCGCTGGTCAAGCGGATTTATTATTCGGCGAGGGACGGAATGGCGATCGCGCTCTACAGCTTGCTGAACGACAAGTCCGACGTCGACGTTAATTATCTGATTAACCAGGTAAGTGAATCATATTTGTTGCGTCATCTTTCAGTCATTGCGCCGCTTTTTATCACTCGTGAAATCGCACTCGTCGGATCAACTGTTTCTAATAAATGTCAAACGCGCTTGATTAGTCGACTCTTTATCTTGCCTACTATTTTCAGGAACTTGCACTTGCGATAAGTGCTATATATAGACTGTAATTTGTTGTTTGTCGTATTATTATCGATACTTGATTATACGATTTTTACAGAAAAAGAATAACATAAAGATAAACACTTAAAATAATTTCGAAATAATATGTTATATTAAAAGCATAAAATTTAATAATTCTACTTTTAATAATAGGTGTACAATAATTTAAGAATATTGATTAGAAATAATCTTTAATTTGGGATATTTTCTAACAAATATTTAATTTAGGAAAAAAACAGAAAGATATATTTACTCTATTACTGGTAAATTTATTTATTTATAGTAAACATATAAACAAGTATACAGTATTTATACGCCTATGCTAAACACTTTAGTAAAAGCATGCTAATTGATATAAATTCTTTGCAAATTACATCTTATCTTATTAACAAATGGTTTAGTAATTGAACTACAAGGGATTTGTTACGTTTTTATTTAACTCGGATAAAGGAACAAAAGTATGATTCGTAATTTGACCTTTGGTTGTGATTACGATATTTAAAATTAATTCTCTCCAGAAAACTAAACAAATAATTTTAAAATATTTGACTTAACTTAATTAAAAATTATGTATGTTGTCAAATTCAGTAATCGCGTTTATACTTACTAATATTGTATGTGAACACTGATTTAAGATTTTAGGGAAAAAATAAAAACAAGTTTTTCAACAATATGAAAAATAAACAGGTAGTTTTATGCTATTTAATAAAATATAGTTTTTATTTATTGCAATATGGTTAACTGTAATGTAGCACTTTACCAACACACTGATACCAACAAAGAATTATTCAGGACAACTTGCAACATTTATTTAGACATGCATACACAAAGAAAACTTTCTGTAGATGCTATTTATAGTAATACAGGTCATAAAATTTTAGATTCTTTTTTATATTACAAATACTGTTATATACAATTATTAATCTTACAAATCTTTAAATAAAGTAACTATATAATTTCAATTATTAAATGTTATTTTAGAATTTAAGTATATAACGTATGTAATTCTTGAATAATTATTTGTGATACAAATAAGTACTAAATAGGTACTTATAACTATTCAAGTTCTACAAAATGCAGTTTGTGAAACAGTATTTGGATTTATATTTACAGAAAGTCTTAGAAGATGATGGACAAAGATGTACACCTTTAATAGTTGCCGCGCGTTATGGACATAATAAGGTAGTCAGAATGTTGCTCGACAAGTTCAAGCCTGATTTAGAGCAGGAAGGAACGGTTAAATTCAACGGATATGTCATTGAAGGTGCCAGTGCCCTTTGGGCTGCAGCAGGTAAAAGACTAATGTTTAAATAGGATATATTGTAATAGTTTTGCAGTATCAATAGCATGTGTCGATTCCAGGAGCCGGACACTTGAACGTTCTTAAAACTCTCGTGAAGGCAGGAGCAAACGTCAATCATCCAACAAAAACTAATTCTACGCCTCTTCGAGCGGCGTGTTTTAATGGACGTTTGGACATCGTTAAATACTTGATCAATCATCAGGCAGATTTAAATATTCCCAACATGTTTAACAACACTTGCCTTATGATAGCATCGTACAAGGGACACCTGGATATTGTGAGTATGTTTATACAGATTATAATACAAGAACGTCATTATTTAATATGTGCAATTGTATAAATTTTTCTAAATTTTTTTGAACTGTGATTTAGGTTAATTTTCTATTAGACAAATCGGCAGATCCGAACAAGAAAGCATATTGCGGGGCGACGGCGTTGCATTTTGCCGCCGAATGTGGACACAGTGCCATCGTGTGCGAGCTACTGAAGTACAGTACGGAAATGACGAAGAATGTGAGCGGCATGACACCTTTAATAACGGCTGCCGAGCGGACGCGCGCGGAAGTCGTTGAATATCTAGTGCAAAGGAGAGAAGTAACGAAGGAAGAAGTAATAGATGCTTATGAGCTACTCGGAGCATCATACGCTAATGATAAGGATAATTATTGTCTAACTAAAGCGTACATGTATCTGTATAAGGCAATGGAGTTAAGGTAAGAGAAACAACACTCGTCATTTGTTTTTATTCTACTGAATCGCTATTTTTTATTACGTATTTTTCTCACGTCCTAGGTATAGTGATACTGATAATATTGTACATAAGCAACTAGGTTCGACTGTGAAAGCATATGAGAATTGGAAGGAATGCGAGACGTTAGAAAAATTAGAAAGTATCAAAGACAATCCCAATGCCATACATATGGAATCGCTCGCTATTCGGGAGAGAATATTAGGTAGATATGTGTTTGATACTTCCAATAAAATACAACTGTATTACACTTTTGTTTTTTACAAAAAAGTAATACTGTTTGCTTATCAGGTCTCCATAATCCAGAACTGCCACATCCTATAGTATTCAGAGGCGCCATATTTGCGGATAACGCCAGATTCGACAGATGTATAGACTTGTGGTTGCACGCTTTGAAACTGCGACAGCTCAATGATATATCCATTGTGACAGACCTCCTTCGATTTGCGCAAGTCTTCTCGCAAATGATACACGTGGGTGTCGATCTAGATATTTCTCAAGTGATAAACGTTCTTGAGGCAAGCGTAACGGAGTTGCATAGGAACAAGGCCAAAATCCAGAATCCAGATTCCAAGGATGACATCGATCAATTTGTTGTAAGTTCAATAAAAGAGACTTTGATCTATGGACAGGGTTGGGAAAGTTACTTTATAAAAGTAACTCGTTACGTTACCATTCTTTTTCCTGAAAAATAACTCGTTACCGTTGCTCGTTACCGATTTAAAAAAGTAACTCGTCATTATAACCGTTACTCAGAAACCAACGAGTCGTCACTATTTTCATTACTTTTTTTTACATTAATAGAATATACACGAATTTCTGCGATAATTATAAATAGAAAGTATCATAGAATTATATCTTTTGGTAAAAGGATAAGGTTCAAAATTATATATATACAAAATTATATATAATGATATATACATATATTAAACATATAATTTGAAGTCAATATTCTTTTTTTGTTCTTTACTGTCGTTTCTTATTCTGGTAAAACTTAAACTTAATTTACACCTTAATATAATTTAAATATTTAGCTTAAAATAATATAAAAGAAAAATGAATAAAATATATAAAGAAAAACGAATTGCAAGTTATATATTATCATGTGGCGTGACAGCGTCTACCTCAGCCAAGAAAACGCGCCGAGCAAGACCATTCAGTACACTATTATACAAATCGCTCGTATCGCAGAACACGTGATCGCGCACGACTTTGCTTGGGACGACTAAGGGCTATGTTTAATTGGACTGCGAGAATTAAGGTATCGTATTGAAATCGTATCGTATTGAAACACTTTAGAACATGTCTCACTACGCGACTTGTTGAAACTCGTCTCAACATGCCAAAAATGAGACGTAACATCACGTGGCCCCGTCGAAAAGGTGGAGGCGATACCAAGATTGCGTTCAGCAGACACAGCAGCTCGGTGACGCTCAGATTCTTTGTTATGATTGGTTTCTACACTTAGATCCAGCGAAGAACTATAGGCAAGAAACAATCATGTTAAAGAATCACTGAGCTGCATTATTTTTCCCAACCCTGTCTATGGACTATATTTAACACTATAATCGAATGCATTAGTGTATCTGCACTCAATATGTTTCCCTGTGATATTTAAAGAACGTATTTTTTCACTTACATAACTAATGACAGTTCAATTGCTTATTTAAACAACAAGAAATTATAAATCATAGATCATAAAGTATTTTTATGAATATGCCGATGTAATGGATATTAATGTATATGACTATATATATATTATGTTATTATAACAAACAGAAACATATCTCTACATATTTAGAAATCTCTGCATAGGAAGAGATGGAATCGAATATTACAACGACTCTATATATTCTAACGATTCTGACCAAACTGATGACACTTAACGGAGACAGATGTGATGAATCGGATTTAACACAGGCGCATCATCTGGTGCATAAATTATGTGCGTTACGGGTATGCTTGAAGGACGGGCAGACTCTGTTACATCTTGCTGTGAATGCCGAAACTCCCGTCGACGATTTTCACACTAATGACGTGTGCAAGTATGTCAAAATGCGATATTAAAATAGCATTAGCAATCAGGGTCGCGTTACACAAATTATTTGCTTGGTTTCCAGATTTCCATGTGCAGCTACAGCGCGATTACTGATTCATTGCGGTGCTGACATAAACGCAATGGATAACGAAAGAAATACACCGCTCCACATTATTGTCGGTTACAGTAAAGCAATTAGGTGTGCTGTTAAAATCAATATTATCTACAATATTACCTGTAATAATCGTATTTTACACTAATACGGATTTGATAATTCTTTAATATTTTTTTTTTCCAGCGATTTTGCGACCTTACATTCAATTATAATAGATCTTATAGAAGCTGGAGCGCATATGGATACTGTAAATAATAGAGGATATACACCGTACGATGCGGTTACCACGGGTAAGTTCACAGATTTCATTATCGATTCGCGTATTTTGTTGTTGCGTTCTCATGTGAATTACTTGGCTGATATTCAATTTCTATTTCAGGTGTAGCTAAAATAATATTACGTACTCAGACTAAATTGTCTTTAACGTGTATGGCAGCCAAAGCAATTAAGACTTACGACCTGCCCTATCGTGGTAATGTTCCACGTTCACTCGAAAGTTTTATAGAGCTTCATGGGCCTGGGCTTAATCAGAGTTGACAAGCCTTTAATTTACCACGAAGCATCGAAATTTTCTTGTACAATGTACGTAGACTGCGTTCGCTTTGGGCGCTTTCGTGCTGAAAGCGTCAGTCCATCTTTATGCTCATTACATGTTGAAAAGATGGAGTTATGCTTTCAGCACGAAAGCATCCAAAGCGAACGCAGCCGTAATACTTAATATAATATTTTTGTACAAAAAAATATGCTAAATATCTGAATAATCTAAAATTCTGTATGTTGCACAATAATTTGATATATCCTATATAAAATCAGAATTCTAGATATCTCGTGAGATACTAACGTGCAATTTACATAAAATTATATAAAAATTATCACGCGATTCGTAAAACTTTTTATGATGTAAGCTCCTATTCAACGATACACGTATATATTGAGAATTGTCTTTTTATATTAAATATTGTACTTTATAGACGGTAAATAGTATCGCTACATAGTCGCTGCGTAACAAAGTGTTTAAATAATTAGCGGCTATTGTGCATTCAACTTTTTGCAATTTTTCGTTTTCATCGATTTTAACTGTAATTACTGTGATAAATGAAATCAAATTAAATAAACTTTTCAAACTACAGCAAATTGTGTGTGAATTAAGACGTATTTTCTGCACGTATCGTTCGATCACGTGCTGTTCCTCTTTACTGAAGATGCCTGCTGCAACATGATGTGGAGAGGCATAAAAAATGTACATCCTTATTGCCATATTAAATTTATTTAATATTTACACACGCACTCTGTATACAATCGTGAAACTAGGAAAATAATGGTAAAATATATAAAGAATATACATGCGCACGATACTTTACAATATATTATTTACAATGTTTACACAGACTCGTTTATCTTATCTATTTTACACATTTTACAACGGCGCTCGCTTATCAATAACACTTCTGTACAAATATACACGTGTGTTCAAAATCTTTTGGCAAAAACAAAAAGAAAGAAGAAAAATAAATAGAGTAATCCTTAGGCAGGTACAATCTATTCGCGGCGGCAGGATTTACGTAGGCATGCATTCAATCGCGTCTGAAAAGACGGAACGCATACTCTTCGTGGCTCCGTTTTAGCGCGTAACCGGACATGCCGATTTACGCATCTAATATGCTGCCCTTTAGTCCTTTTAAAATGTTATGACAATATTGCGGAAACGTTAATGCGATCCAACGACTGCGGAGAGATACGCATTCACGTACGCGTTTGCATGACGAACGCCATTACCGGTACAAAAACGGTCAACATTGCCTTGGTTGATACTTCATCGCGTGTAGAAGAGGCATTTCTACATCGCTGAAATTACCATTAGTCAATTGTGTATTTCCGACACGTGATTTCATTGCTCACTTGCTGAAGTGTTACAATGTCTCTCGCAGTGCGATGTCTCTTGCAGTGATGCGCAATATTTGCCGACATTAAAGTCGCTTCATACTCGTATCGCACTTACTTCCACACACCGTTCATCTCATTTTCACCAAGTCTAATCGAAATCTCTAATGCATTAAGTGAGAGTTCGTGATTACGCAAGTACATAAAACCATACACATTTCGCTTGTACATATTTTTATCACTCGGCGCGACTTGCCTCGTTAGCAATAGATTCAAATTAATCGGTTGTTTTGTCGCGCTTTAAAAGCATACATCAAAGTCGAGAGCTCATATATCACGAGAGCACAATGGATTAAATTCCTCGCAGACAAGATGCCATCAAACGCGTTTTAAAGCAAATAGAATTCGAATTTATTTCAAGAAGATAAATATTTGAAGAGCACTTGGATCAATCAATAGAATGTTTTCATTTAAAGTCCACATCGCGTCGTAATGTATTTTCTATATTTTCCTTGATCCATTTATTGGTACATCGGCAATATATTAGTGATGATGCATCGATGCATATAATAACATAATATGAAAGTATTTCGCAAATTCTATTCGCATATTTGAATTAAACGCTATACTGGCAAATATTTTTTCGCGCGAATAACACATAATCTACATCTTTCATAATTTATGAAAGATACGGATAATATATTGATACAATTGGATAAAAGTTGTCAAATACTTCATGTGGTCAGAATTGATTGGAGAGAATATACAATCAATATACCGTTGGGATTTTGCAAAATTCGTTCGCGCAAAAACGATTTCACGAACAAAGATACACAAAACTGCAAGAATGAAAAATGCAGCAAAGTTATATACCGAAGACACTTATTATTCGTGTCTTCGAAGTCTCCGTGTCGCATTACGAAGATCCGAACAATATATTTGGTGGACGTTAATCCGCAAAATTGTATTTCTCGGCCATCACCTTCTCAAATAGGAGTTATCCCTACCGTCATTTTCTCAATCCTGCTTATAAACGAGTAATTATTCTCATCATTGCGTTTTCAATAAACTCTAACAATGACCCGGTAACTATTGCAATTGTCGCTCAGTTCTGTTACAACTCGCGAGTGAATTTGATGACGATTAGAAGCTGTGTCAATCGTTGTTGATCAACTCGTATCTTTTGATCGGCGTTAATCATCATCATATCAAGCTGATTCCGCTAATCACAGTAAAAGCTGTTTATTTTCAGACAGCTGCCTCTTGTAAATTGAAATGTTTCTCTTCCTCTCACACTGCACGTTTGCCACGTAACCACGTGGTCGTATGCTATACGAGCGAAAGTGAGGATCAAGGAGATAATGGAGGGAGAACTCCGTCCCGACGATCTCCAGACAGAATGGAGAGATTCTATTCAAGAAAAAAAAATTCTACTTGAGAAAGAAAGAACGGATCTACTGTGAAAGAGCTACGTCAATCGTCACATCCCCGATTGGAGTCAAAGGCTACCGCAATGTAAGGCCTCTGTTTAGAATTGATCTTATTAATCTATCGAGATCCAATAAACGAGCGATATCTTTTAATCATACAGTGAATCGTCCGCAGTCAACTTCCTTCATTTTAAGTCAGTTGACTTCGTCTGAACTAGAATTTTTCTCTCATACTGTTTCCTGCTATTACTCGCTGTTGTCATGTGATTACGTGGTCGCATGAAAAAGCGAATGGAAAGTGCGTTTCCATTTTGCACATATTTAGAATAAGTAAATGGACATTGTAGGCAAAATTTTAGAACAGAGAAAAATACTCAGTCCCGATGATCTTAAGATAAAGGGTTGACTTTTTCGATTAAAGGCAATCTTTAACTCACGCGATACCTAACTTTGTATAAAAAATAATCTTATAAAAAAACTTTTCGCAATGAAGTGACTTTTTTCAAAGTTTTGTTCGTGTTATCACCGAATAGCATATAATATCATCCGCGTTTACCTCTATTCTATTATCATTCGTCATGTCTAGCAACAAATTATATTTACTGTGCACTATTCTTTGATGATAAATTCTGTCTTTTCGTCCTTTAAGTATAAACATTTTACACTGTCTGTGTACTCGCGTACGTTTCATCCTTACTTAATACATCCGTAAAGGTGGCGGCGAGTTACATACAAAACCGTGAATCGACAAATCACGCAATTATGTACTCTCGTTTATTCGACCACCTGCGGCATTAAATGTTTCTTTATCTCTCTCTTCGTTTCTTCATTCTTCCGTGTCATTTCACGATTTCGGCGATTGCTCTTCGAGAGTAGAGTACTCGTACGCCCAGCAAAAGACCAGGTCAGGAGCCTCAGCGGCAACCGCATCCGAGGACCGCCATGTCCTGATAGTTCTTCAGCACTACCTTATTCTCCTCGTCCAGATAAAGCATCGATATCGAGCTGAGCGCGGTCGGCACGCAACACGCCTTCGGCACCATGCTCGGCTTGGTCGAGTAAACGAGGGTCTGCACGATCGCGTGATTCGTCGAGTTCAGATGGTCCGCCAGAGGAAACGGGCAATCACCGTGGCAGTAGAAGGCGTCGTATCCGGGCGGCGCGACGATCCAATCGTTCCAGCCGACGTCCGCGAAGTCGACGTAGAGCGGATGCCGCCGGCAATTCTCGCGGCCGTCCTTCCGCCGGTTCTTCCGCAGGGCGGCCCGCCTGGTCCGCCGGTCTATTATCTGATCCGCGGATGCCATCTCGTAGCTGCCGTCGTTCGTGTAAGTGAAGAGCATCGGCCGGCTCACCACCCACGTCTCCTTGTGCTCGTCGACGGCCCGTCTCAGCCGCACGTGTTCCCGTGTGCGGGCGACCGTGCCGGTCACGTGCACCAGCAGCCCGTGATTGTTCTGATTACTCTCTATCCACCTCACCACGGCTGGATGCACGTCCAGATTGATCGTGGCGTTCTTCGTCGTGTCGATCACCTTGCTGTCGATCAGCCGCAATATCGGCTTGCTGCGACCCTTCACGCCGGGCCGCACTATGTCGTACACCAGCACCCGGCCGCGCTTATGTTTCGTGCTTTTGTCCTCGACGTCCAACATCGCGACGCGAGACAGGCTTAACTCAGCTGCCTGCAACGTCTCGCCGCTAGGTATCTTGCTTAGATCGAAGGACAGCCGGAAACGGTTCGGAGATTGGAACTTGTGGTCCAAATCGCTCTCTGGAAAGAAAGAAACGTCAAGATGAAGATTAAGATAAAGAATAAATAACATACAGAAATGTTGAAGATTATTTGCGCGAGAAGGCTCGTGCAAACTTAGTATATTAAGATGTAAATGAATATATCATAACATGTGAACTTGACCGATATGATAACAATTCAAGTAAATAGAAAATGTACTCATATATACGATCGGGCTGAATCTTTTGTGCCTAATAGTACAATCACCTAAATTAAATTGATTAAATTGATAATCAATTTAATAATACTAATACTATATTCTAGCTTCAGCTTGAGACTGCCTTTCAAAACCGGCAATAATTGGTATATATAGTTTGCTAAACGAAAAATTACATAAATTCATGCGAAAATATTATTAGGCACAAAATATCCAGTCATATATTGGCCTCTGAGCATATATTGGCACATTTTCTATTAAACAAATAAAATTTTAGAGTTAAATATAAAAGATTTCAAAAAGCGTGTAATATAAGAATTTTATATATGCATAAGGAATATTTTATAAAATACAGAAAAAGAAATTTAATTGTAATTAAACTAAACATACTTCGTCTTGAAGAAATTTAAATTGAAAAAAGTTAAGTTTTGGATTTTTCAATGTCAGAAGGAAAATGAATTGATTGATGAATTAAGAATACAACGTAGATGGAAAAATCATTATTCCAAAGTAGAATCCACAAAGCTTTTCGCTTTCCATGAAACTTCTCAAACATGTTATTTCATAAGTTGCAAGCGAGTTAAGAATAAATCTTGGGTTTTGTGGGTAGGCTGCTTAGAAATTCAGAGGAGGTGATTCTTTAAATTTCCTGTTCGTCGTGTCGGACGGATAAATTTATCAGACGTGTTTATTATCTTACAGCATTCAATATCAATAAGGAGTGCCGCCGGAATAATTTTCCGTTCACGTGAATCTTTTACGACGCACGAGGCGCACACATATAATTTAAGTTACGCTTCTACAAAAATAGCTAATAACGTTCACCGCGTATGACGCAATTGTTCCTCGGAAACGACTCGAAAACAGTGGATGCAGCGGGCAGCCGTATAAGTAGACGCAGTTGTAACGCGTATGTAAATTTCGTAAGACGTCGCTGAATCCTAACATCACACACACACATACGTGCGCGTATATTCAACACCGGTCAACACGCTACGTACGCAGAATCTAGCAATTTCTGTAGAAGCAAAGCAGTAGAAATATCAAAGAGCTTCTTGTTAGAGTTTTATATATAATCCAGTCCAAATTTTTGCCACCTTCTGAGCATCAATCTAAAATTATTATTTCACAGAATAAAACAGTGATAAGGTTGAATAAATTACGAAAGTATGTGTGTCATATTTTCTTGCAACAGGATCTATTAGATCAGAACATTAAATTATTACTATTATACCGCACTTAATTATGTTCCTGATTTCACAGATAATTGAATATTATATAATCGTGTGAACTATATTTTTTTCCAGATATGTTTCCTGAATTACATATCGTTTGATTATCAAATAATTCAAGATATTGCCTTAAATCTATCGACAGCATTAGATGTTCAATATTTTCAATTAATAAAATAATAAAATATACTATAAAATTGTGTAATACTTATAGCAGTTTTTTATCACTACATCACAATGGAAGGCATGGCACACGTAATCTTTAAAGAATTGGAATAATGTCGTTTGTACACAAAATACAACACGAGTGTTTCTTCTAGTGTTTTCTATATATACTACTGGTGACGCGCTTGAAGTGTCATCGGATTTTACTTGCAAATTTTCCTAATAAACATCATAAACATGATAAAATAGGCAAAATTCTTAACGTACTCATGTTTTATTAACCATCAAAGATTGCAAAACAACTAGAAAGTGTCAAACTACTAATTGTAAGATATACGCATCATATCAAATTAAACGCCTCGATCGTATTTTAATTCAGAAACTGAAAGCGATATAATCTCGACGAGATTCTTCTCGCCGAAGGCACACGAAAAATTGATATTTGTGACAATAAAAGCAACACATTTTGGCATGACATTTACGATTTAGCCTTCAGCGCGGGTATAACGGATATAGATTTTTATCAAAATGATTTTATAAAAATGATTTGTCAAGACGGGTTTCTCGCGATATGTCCATATAGCTTTCCATCGCGTATCTTCCTCAACTGCTCTTGGCACTTTCTCCTACATTATATCATCGATTCTATTTCAATGTTTAGCTTCAAAAAAAGCTCGTTTTAAACAATTATATCTGCCGCAACGATCCAAGATTCGAAGAACAATCGGTCGGAATGCCGACCTACCTAAGCTCTAATAATCCGGATGTGAATCATTGGAACGGAAGCTGGACCTCC